TAACTAAAGGGGTCCTGATGTGGTGCTGTGGGATAACACACTAGACTGCAAGGTTGGTTTGAGTTCTAAGGTCGGCGGTTCAAGCTCACCAGCCACTCCTTGGAAACCCTGTACAGGGTCGCTGTGAGTTGGAACCAACTCGACGGCACTTAACAACAACAACAAGGCTAAGTGGCTGAGAATAGCGCGTGGGAGAAGTGTGAAGACAGGGACTCTGTGACTCAATGGTTAATTGATCGGCTGGTAACCAAAGGGTTGACAGTTGGAAGCCATCAACAGCTCTACAGGAGAAAGACTTCGAAGTCTGCTGCTGTCGAGAATGTTGTTGTTAAGTGCTGTCAAGCTGGTTTAGTAGACTCACAGCGACTCGGAATAGGGTTTCCGAAGAGCATCTGGTAGGTATGAACTGGCAACTTTGTGGTTTGCAGTCCAGTGCTGATGTTATGGCTAGAAAACCATATGGAGCCGCTCTCTTCTGTCACGTGGTGTCCATTCAAATAAAAACCTCAACAGGACAGCACCGTGAGGGACAGCACTATAGTTTCAGAGAGCAGATAGGATAGGAAGAGAAGGAGGAGGAGGTCTAAGCTGCAAGAGACTTCAGAATTCCTCCTATTCTCTCACCCAGTTCTAGAATTTTCTTTTCAACCATCATGGTAAATGGTCACTTTAGAGGAGAACATTTAACAAGCTAAATATCCATCTGAGAGATAGCTTTCTTTCCTCTGCACAATGACTACGAGTTTTGACATCCCTCAGTTTGAGAGTCTTAGACCCTCTCTTTGAGGACTCCAAAGAGACCGGCCATTATCCACACCACTGGCTTTCATTTGTTGGACGTGGTTTAGTAGCTCCAAGAAGACCCTGAAAGGACACATGTACACTCCTATAGAAAACGATTTCTTTAAACAAATACACAGCACTCCCTCAAAGAAAGAAAGCACAAAGTAACTGCTGGGTATGGAAAGTAGTTCATAGTGGTAGTGTTTCAGCAAACCCAGGTTTCCTTGAGCGCAAACCATTTCTTGTACTTGTACACACCACGCCAGTGGGGCACCGAGCAGCTGCAGTAGACCCACATTTTCTGGTCCGGTGTGGTATAATTGTGAGTGTCTTGGAGACAGTGCCTGGCTGTGCCTGCTCTGTGTGGCTAACCCCGCCATCATGGGATTAACCCTGGGAAGGTCTCCCCCACAAAACTGCAGGTGCCTTACTTGTCTTTGCCACCCAGGGCTCAGCACATCTAGTTGTTGATTCGCGAATTTGATTCCTGGTGCTTCCATTTTTAAATAGCTGCAAGGCCTTAAGTAAGTGGTTGGGTTAATCCATCCATGTTTCAGTTTCCTCACAGTGAAGTGAGAATGAGAAGGCCAGTCAGGTGGCATTGCTTTGAGCATTACATTAAGTGTTTAGTTGTCAAAATGTCAGATGAACTCAACCAAAGGTGTATCACTGGAATGGGGATGAAGAGTTTTCTGCAAGTGATTCTACCTTCTAAGGTTGGGCTTGAGTTGTTTCCTAATTCAATTTCAACTGTGTGTTTGTTTCTTGGAGCTACCATAACAGATGGATACACCACTGCTGCTATTTCCTCCCCCAAAGGGAGAAGACAGCTCTGCTCAAATAAAGTAGCATTCCTATTTCCATCTGCTCATCCACATGAGCCAGTCATCATTTCAATGGAATTATAAGAGGGAGGATGGGGAGAGGGAGAGGGAGAAGTGGGGGATGGAAGAAGAGTTCTACAGTTGATGGATAGATCATGTCCACATCCCTCCAAATCCCCAGGTTGAAGCCATCTGTCCACTTTTGAGTCTGAATTGAGTCTAAGATGACAAGGTTGGGCCTTCAGAAAAAGGATCATGGGTGGGTGCAGGGGTTGGCTCCGTCTCCGAAAGTGGGTTGCCTTGCTCACCTCCCCTCCCTCTCACTACTCCACCACCTTCCCCAGGTACACATGATATGTCCCATATGGGGCCTGAAATGAGGCTGATAGGGAAAGACTCTGTTGAGGTTGAAGAGTCAAAGATGCAAAGTTAGAAAACCTTTGAGGCTCAAGAAACCAGTTGGAGTGGCAACCCCAAGTAGTAGCTGGCACACACTCACCTTCTGGACTATAAGTCATTAGGCAGGCACATTAGTACAGGGGTGAGGAGGATCTTTATCAGGTAGGAATGAAAATATCACATGCAGATAAGTAAAAAAAGAATACCTTTCACTGCTTGAAGCTTCCGATAAAAGCTGAAGCAATGATCTGAGAAAGGGAGGTGGGAGAGTTTACACAGGTCTGATAGCTCTGCAAATGCTAACGGAACTTCCGGTGAGTTGAAAATCTAGAGGAGACCCTTGGAGCTCCGAATGGGGGGGGGGGGGCTGTGAAAGCTCCTGCTCTAGACAGTTTCTCAGGTCACATGTCTTTAAAACTAACACCATTGCTGTCAAATCAATTCTGACTTACAGCGACCCTGTAGGACAGGATTCAAGGCTCTAGATCTTTACAGAAACAGGCTGTCTCATCTTTCTCTCATGGAGCAACAGGTGGGTTCGAACCTCAGACCTATGGATTAGCAATGAGTTCTTAACCATTGCACCAACAGGACACCTTCAAGCTTCAAGGGAGCTTCAAAAAGTTCATGGGGAAATTCCATAATCTTTTTTTTTAACAAATTCACAATTCTATTCATTTACTTTTCAATAAGTTTCAATCCTTGAGGGCTACAACATCACACGGATTCTGTGTCCAATGGCCTGAGCAGGAAAGTTGCTTTGGAATTTCGCCCGAACCAGGCCACTGCTTCCATGGGCACGAGTTACCTTTCCCCAGATGACTCTAGTTTTGTTCGGTTTGCCACCAGGAGGCACTTTGCTTTGTACACATAAGCACATCTCTTGCCTAAGTAGAATTCGGTTTCATCTTGAGCATAAACACCTTCAATTTTAAGAAGAGCTGTATCTTCCCGTTGGTTCCGGAGCCAGGAAAAATGGCCTTGGACCAGCCTTCTAGACATAGCGCTGACTTTGAAGTCCTGTTCCCAGCAGGCCTCTATAGACTCCAAGAGGGCAGAAAGAGAGCAATTCCATAATCTTTTAATTCCATTTTTCTGTGAACTGTTTGAAGTCCTTCTCATATATAGTGATTGTTGTTGGGTGCTGTCAAGACAATTCCAACTCATAATGCTCCCATGTGACAGGGTAGAAGTGCCCCATAAAGTTTTCTTGGCTGTCCTTTCTCCCACAAAGCCACTGGGTAAGTCTGAACCACCAACCTCTCAGTTAGCAGCTAAGCACTTAACCACAGTGTCACCAGGAGCAGCTGGTGAGTTTAAACTGACAATCTTGTGGTTCAAACTGACCTTGTGGTCCAGTGCTCCATCCTACAGCGCCATGCCAGGACGCTATATATATAGAAAGAGTATACATCGAAGGTAGAGACGAAGGTTGCTGCTCAACGTCAGAAATGGCCAGGATGGCCCCTACCACAGAGAATGATCTGGCCCCAAATGCCCCACGTACTCAGGCGAAGGGAAGTGTCTGGCAGTGTACAAGGGACAATGATGCAAAAGTATTTTGTTCAGATTCTCTCACTAAACCAAAACAAATCCTCCAGGGCGGGTGACGGTCCTCCCCTTTGTTGCTCACGTGACAATGGGAGACTGTCAATGTCAAGCATGAGTGACAAAGTGGAGTCTAGACCTGGGATTGTCTGACCCCAAAGTGTGTCCTACTAAACAGCCTGTACTTTGGTCCCTATACGTGACCCAGAAACCTGTAACCAATTACTGGTGTTCATATAGAAGGGGGGGGGGGTTCTGTTCCAGTATGCATTATGATCAATTTGATTAATTTTTGAAACATCTTGTGAAAATTAAGATTTCCCAAGAAACAAAGCATTGCAGTCCAGGATATACTGCTCTTAGAGATGGATTTCCAGCATTCAAGAATCTGAACACAAGGGAAGTCTACTTCAATCTTTGATTGTCATAGGACTCCCCATAGCCCTTTACTTGCATCTAAGCTGGCTCAGTCCCTGGAGAAGGACATCATGCTGGGTAAAGTGAAGGGTCAGTGAAAAAGAGGAAGACCTCCAACGAGACGGATTGGCACAGTGGGCAGCAGCTATTGGCTCAAGCATAACAACAATTTCAAGTAAGGCTCAGGACCGGGCAGTGTTTCCTCCTGTTGTGCATAAGGTCGCTATGAGTCAGTACCAACTTGACAATACGTAACAACAACAACAACAACAAGACTGCCTTGAATACTGTTAGTAATCGGGGATGATTATGAAGCATAAGAAGTGAAACAGACAACACATGGAAGGTGTGTCATCGATGCAATGGGTAACGCTAAGCAAGAGATGAAGAAAACCAACAAAAGAAATGATAAAAGTTGTAAGGACTACAGAATCGACATTAACAGCGAGTACCAAATGACCCAACGTTTACTGAAAAGAAAACGCCATGTTCGGAAGCTTAAAATCCAAGTATGGAAGAAGCTGGGTTGGCCAGACTTTAGCAGAAGTCACAAAATGTATGGCAAGGTGGCCAGTGTTCCAATCATGCCAAAAATAGGAGTGGCCTTCAAAACAATAGGAAGGTTTCAGCTTACCCCAAGGGTAGGCAGTGCCTGTTGTTTCGAACTTGGCTTCACAACCACTTATTTTTTTCTTTCTTTCTCATTTCTCCATTTATTAGAATAACCACATTTGGAGAGGCACAAAGTTACCACAAATTTCAAACTTTTTAGCTACAGATATTTCACTTACTCCATCTAAAGAAAAAAGCTTTCAAAACATCTGAGTCAACTTGAAACACAGAGACCCTAAATATATGGGAACTACATATTTGTAAATGTTTCCATTTCCTGCTTTAATAATGTCTTCCTGAAGTAGAATCCAGCATAAAAGGGACATGTGTAAGGTCATGATGCAAATGCTTTGGAAACAAATGAAATTAACCTATACAACATGGGAAACAATGTCGTGTGCAAAGTTTTGTAAGGGTTCACTGAGCCATCTGGGTTTCCATAGCTTGTGCGGTCCATTCGGGTGCTGTCTGGCTGATTCTTTCCAAAAGGTTGTTCACTTAGAAGCAAAGCGATTAGATTTGTTTGTCCCATGATAGCACGGCTTCTCGTGTTTCAAAATGAACTATTCCGATCATCTGATCAATAAATCCATTCATACGTACTTCTGTGGTCATTTGAGATGCTATCTTTTCTGCCTTAGCTGCAGGGGTCTCTAAAAGAGCTCCAAGTTATATTATTATTATTATACAATTTGCTGGCAGACAAAGGTAATATTATTATACAATTTGCTGGCAGACAACAAATTGTGTTCAATAACAGTTCTGTCCAAGATGCTGTAGTTGCTTTTTGGTGAGGCATCAACATGGCAGTAAATTCTTGAAGTGGATTTCCTCTGATGATCCTATCTAGGTACATTTTCTCTAGAATCCCATAAGCAGCAAGTTGCTGGCACCTTTCATCCTTAAAAAGAGTTGTTGTTGTTGTTGTTGTCAGGTGCCATGGAGTCAGAACCGACTCATAGCGACCCTATGCACAGCAGAACGAAACAATGTTCGATCCTGGGCCAACCTCACTACCGCTGCCACACCCGAGTCCATCAAT